GTTAACTGGAATGGTAAACAACTCTGCTGTGTGTTAAACCTTGATTGCATGTGTAAATTAATTTAAGCGTTAAAGCAGCTTAAATCTACAGAAGTGTATGTGTAGAGCACAGATTCTCATTCTCATTACCAGCAGCAAGTATACACAGGTTATTCAATAATTGAATGTATTTCATGTTTGCTGTTAAAAGGTACTATAGGTACTTATTTGGACTTAGAGAACTCACCTTTGGACATACTATTTCACAATGTCCTCCCTAATATGAGAGTCTCTTGTTTAAATGAAATTCATAACTTTAAGGCAATTAAATATAAGTTTTGGTTGTATTTTTAACATATTGGAACAAAGGTTTTGGGTGATGCTACTGAATTCTTTGTTGATAATGGATGAAACAATTCAATGTATCAACACAACCGTCCATGACTAGTTGTGTTAAAATCTAAAGGAGTATTATTCCATTTAGAGAAAGATCTCAAATAACTGAAGACACTCGCAAAGCATTTTTTTGGAATTAACTGCATATTCAAAAGCATTCTAAACCGTGCAGCTTGAGTATTGATAATGAAGAGCTAAGAGAGCACTTAACAGCTATTATGCATTCAGGATAGAGGCTGTCTTTAAATTCCCTAGTCAGATAGAACAATAGAAGCTAACACACATTATTGTTGTACAACAGTGTCCTTTTAGTTGGGTGTTGCTATCCATTTCTGTGACACATTTTGAAGTGACCCATCATAGAACAGTATTTCAGACCAGAACAAAGATAATGCTGTTTCTGTCCAGAAAGAACGATACTAAATTACACTTCTGGAACAGCAAATCAAGAGCTGACATAGAGTGTTTATGTGGATCCTTGACAGACTGGTAAATCTCATGATGTGTTCATGAGAGATGCAGCTTTATAATTCCCTTTGTGTATCACTTATTGAAGAGAAAATAAGTGTATAGGCATAATAGTTGTTGCAGAAAGTACAAAGCGCAACAGTGAACAGAATATCTGAGAACTAACCCAGGGAGAAGATTGGACTATGTAATATCCACCCATATTGAGAGAAAGAGAAAATGGCATAGCAGTCACTGAATTTAATAAATAATGCAGCTTTTAGATTAGAGTCATAAAATAACATTTTTTAATAACATAAGCAAAATGGGACACAAATATTTCTAGCCAGTATTCCCTTTTTTCCTTTTTATACCACCCCAGTGGTGAAGGTTTCGAAAAGTTCCATCTACTTTCTGCAGCAGGAAAGAGCTGTGATCATGGCCTTGCAACACTGCTTATTTTACATCAGTAGCATAATTTTAGCTAATTGTATGATTCTTTTTCTGCTGAAAGTGTTTTAATTTATACTTCCACAAAGGGTGCCATAAGGGATTCCAAATAATTGTTCAAATTCTTTCAAACTTACTCCAGACCTTTACTTTAGGCTGTCTGTAGCACTGGTTACACAGTAGTTCCAGTTAAAAGATATTTTCAGCAGAAGTGGTTTAAAATCCTTTATAATTTCCTGTAATGTCCTCCTGTAGCTGATCCTGGGTACCTCTTAGCTACCTGAGTATTTGAGAAATGCAGCTAACTCCATCATATGTCTTGTATGAGCCTGTGGGTACATTGGTATTTCTGCTTATGCTCTGTAGATAGTTTATATCAGTCATGTAGTAACTAGGCATAAAACTTATTTTTGAAAGTATGAAAAAATGATCAGGAAAGTCCTTTTAGTCAGATATCTTGGAACCATTAGGAATGTAATTTTTACTATTCTGAAAACAACGGCTTCACATAATTTTCTTCTGAATATTTTTAGAGTAATTATTTCCTCAAAATAACTATAGTGCTTCAACAAAGGGCCTAATCAAACAGTATATTCTTAATCATGGACTATTAGAGAAAACAGGGGGAAGAGAAGTATGAGTGGGAATATTTTTATATCTGAAAAGTAGTTTTTGTCCAGGTTGGCAGCCTGTATGGCAAGGGTGAGCAGTGCATCTGTCTGGGGGGATCTCTGCCAAGATACAGCAGTGCTCAGCAACAGCACTGCATCCTGTGCTATGTTTGCTCTGCCGCTGTGGACCCAGCAGAGCTGGGTTTCCCTTCTGCCCTTGGCCTGTCTAAAGCTCTCCTGTGTGCCCATAGTGAACACATGCTTCAGAAACATAAGCTGGTATTTTTCTGATCCTTCTGATGGAGTAAGTTGGGAAGGGGTTTCTGCTGATGATCCCCAAAATCCAGTAGCACTGGTGATGGGTCTGCTGTGACCAGACAGATACTTATATTAGAGAAAAGCAAAAAGTCATGCTGATTGTTCTTAATAAGGAAATACCAGCCTTAAATATGCTGGTGCAGAAGGCATTGTGGAATTAAAGACTGGATGACTGTAAGTGTTTGAAGTTCATTAGCTCCATGATATTATTAAATTGCAGTTTGAACAGAAATGTTAAGAAATTTAAATTAAAATCCACTTTCTTAAAAACAAAACCATAACAAAAAAAAAAAAAATGAAAACACCTATATTCAGTCATGCTAGAATTTAGTATTCTAGGAGAAAAAAGAGTAAGGTTTGGTTTGGGGCTTTTTTTTTCCCATTAGGGCATTTATAAACTGTTTCAATGTTCTGAGTTTATCTGGAAGATCTTATTGTAAATAATTGAATCATTCCCTAGTTGTATTAATTAGAATTTAAATATTTTAAATACTGAGATTGGATGCAGCAGAAATAATCTTTTGTCACAAAACTAGATTAAAAAGGTCAATATTTTTCTACAACAAAATCTAATAATAGTGGTTTAGGTCTTAGTATTAATTTTATGTACAAATTTGAAAGCATATTTTCAAAATACAGTTAGCTCTGTGCCACAGATTAAATACACTCTGGTAGCATGGATGAAAAAGCATCTGTTTTGAAGTACTTTCATTAGAAATTAGAAGACTAGAGTAAGGAAAATTAGATTTGTATGACATGAAATCAGAAAAAATATAAGAATGTTAGCTGCAAAAAAAAAAGGAATGGTCTGTGGATCATGGAACAAGCAAAGTGTCATCTGGAATATATGTGGAAGAATATAAATTATAATCCTAAATTTCTAAAAACCTTTATATATTTAATAAACATACTTGAAGATGTTATAATTACATTAATCTTAAAAACTAATGAAAATTACTGATATTAATGATTCCTTTGTGCATTTGGCTTTGCTGGATGAGTGCCTCTCTGTCTTCAGCTCACTCATTTTCAGGCGTCTGTAATAACAAGTTTTAAAGCATCTATGATGTTAAAATACATCCATATTCTGATGTACACCTTCCTAGTGTCAAGCGAGTGTGTTGATAGGTCCTGTTCATCATTAGCCTGAAAGTAGTGCATGCTCTTAGCATCTCAGTAGGTATACGTTCATTTAACAGCTTCCTGTTGTGGATTTTTGGGGAAGGCCGAGAGATAGATATTGATGTTATCAATATAGTTGGCTGTGTGCTGTCTTATAGTAAGGAAGAAACCAAAATGTTTTAGTTTGGTTTATCTTTCAGATTAGTAGTGGATGGATGGGAAAAAAAGCCCTAGCATCTCCAAATCCTCTTAGTTATTAGGCTATTGTCTGGGAAGGCTAGAAGCATAATACTTCATGACATTTCCAGTGCTCACAGCTAAATTGCATAAATTACATGAGTTATTTTCCTTTGTTTTTCCTGTATTTCTACTTCAGATGGCAGCTGCAAGCAATAATCAAAGAACTGGTTAATGACAGATTTTTTTTTATATATATATTATTTTTTGAAAGAACTCTGGTAGCTGAATGTAAGTTAAAATTGCTCTTGTAATACTACATAGAAAAGATGCCTGCCATTTGTAATTAATTTTTTCCTTCCAAACATATTTGATTCAACTCTGTTAAGTTACATTTCTTGTTTCAATGTACAACTTCTAAAGTCATGTAAATTTGATATTTTTGAAATTGCATGTGTCACAAATCCTGACAGCTTGAAGTAATGTCTGTGTATGTGTATATATAATTCTTTGTGTGTGTATACAGGTGTATATATACCTGTATCTGCTAACCCAGTTGCAGGTGTATATACCTGTATCTGCTAAACCTGCTTTTCCTGCTGGCCTGTATTCCAGAAGTGCAGAAGTGTTTTTCTTAGTATGAAAGTATAGTTGTTTCTTCCTGTAGCCGTATTCAGCTAAGACTGCTAAAATATAATTTTAAGGAAGATGTTGAAATACATGGCATTTTATTTAATTTCATTAAAAAACAAAAAGCAGAAAGCACTGGAAGTAAGCCAAAACATCTTTCATTTGTTCAAAATGAGCATGCATTGCAAAAGTGTTGTTTTAAATTGACCTGGTTATTACTTTTTTTCAAAAAAAAAAAAAGTTTCCATTATTTGGTTTTGTTCTTAATCCAGAATCCAGTTTATCTACTGGAAAGTATCTTATGTTTATGTATTTCTCATTCAGGCAAAATCACTGAAATCTTCACATGTGTTAGTAATTGCTTGCACCAGTGTTAATTTAAGCAGTATAACTGAGATTGTACTCAGCCTAACATCTGTACATGGGAGCTTTGTGGTCTGGTTTATCTGCTGTGTTTTCTCTAGTGGCCTTTCATTTCAGGCAAGGGTAGGGAGAGGAGCCGGGTGGTGTGGGGAGGGCTGGTGACTCTTGTTAGCTGCAGAGCTACTGAGGCAGCTTCTGTCTGGGAGAACCAGGGCAGAGACTGGGAGAGCAGCTGGGGGGAGGCTGGTGGGTGCTGTAAGCCTGTGCCAGCTTCCCCCTCTGATATAAAAGGGTGTTCGTATTTGGGGAGATGTCTGTGTTTTGCTTTTTCCAATGTAAGATTTTGCGTGTTCTTTGGGGCTCTTTCTGCTTTGAAGTCAAAGGACAAATGTGCCCCAGCTTCACTGCACTGCTCTGGTTCTGACTTTATTTCTGTTTTGAGATAAAAATTGAGGTTTAGTATGAGTGTTCCAAAACCAGATACCACTCTCTCTCTCTTTCTTGTAGGCAGGGTGCTGCTGTGCCAGGCAAACCAGGAGGGATCTCCCGTGTACAGTGCCCCCAGTTCACTAGTATACACATCCACAAGTAAGCTAGTGTTACGGCTCTTTTTTGTTTTGTTTTGGTTTTGTTTTGTTTTGTTTCGTGACAAAAGCGAATTAATGTGAATTAAGCCCCCTAAAAATGTAAACTTTCCCAATAGCTGTTGTTAAGGTAAATGTGTTTATAAGCATATGTAAGTAATGTCAACAGATAATTCAGTGGTTTTAGTTGCCTATTTATCCTCAAAGTAGATTTTAAAATAATAATTAAAATAATACCTATAGTACAATGTTCTACAGAAACAGTCAAAATTTCTGCAGTCACAATGGGGTTTATTTTGGAATCCAGTACTGTTGTGCACTCTGTATTTTGTGTAGAAGATGAAGTTGTGTTTGTTTTTCTATCCTGGTCACAACTGTGATTTAAAAAACAAGAAGTCTTATGTTATGCTGTCATTTGATTGTGTCAGGAAGCAAATAGACCTGAAGTCTTTTTCACAAAAGATAAAAACTGTGTACAAGTGGGTATTTTAAATTGTAAAATGGTAGCCTAATAAAAATAGCAAAGACAAGCTGAAACAATAGATACTGCCATCAGCCATTTTCCTGTACAAAACTTTAGGGTAGGAATGCGTCCTCTAAAATTCTGAGACAGAAGCAGAACTGTTTGTTATCAGTGTTTTACATAGTATTGGTGGCACCACTGATGCCCATTCTGAAATCTAATCAGATGAGGAGCCTGTGGCTGAATGAAATAGTAATAATTGCTGCTTGCTAAAGTAGGGTGAACAGCAGCATTTGCTCTGTGTTCATAGCTGTCCTCTGTAAAGAAAGTATTTTACATTGTCTGAATTAACAACATTAATGCATATGCTCTTTATGAAGATTGCACTTAGTCTAGAATGCAGTTTTACTCATTTAAAGCTTATCTAATCTACTAAAATGATTAATTGATTTTATGCATTAAAACCAGAAATGAGGATAAAAGAGTTCCATAGAGGTCCTCTATACTGTAATGTAACTCTCTTACATTAAAGGATATGAATATCATCCCTAGAGCTGTTGCTTCTATAATACAAATGTGGAATCTACTTTCAAATCAAGAGTCTACAAATACATAGTGAACTAACAAAACATATGAAGTGTTTTAAATTGGAAATGAAATTATCGGTTTAAACTGCATTTGGTTCCAGGTGCGCCAAGAATATTTTGTCCTATGTCATGTTTCCCAAGCAGTGTTTTGTTTTTAATCCTTATAGTAACAATGAAATACTGTTTAAATCAATACTCCCTTTTCAATGAAATAGCAATCTTTGACTGAAAGTCATTTCTTAAAAAATTATCCAAGCAGTTCATTCATGTCACTGTTAGGGAGCTGCTTCTGGGGGAATGAGGCAGTATTTGTTTTCTGGGAAGTACTCTAAATAAAGCCTTTATTTTTTTTTTTTTTTTTGAGTTTACCCTGTTTCTCTCAGCTCTCTGAATTCTAGCCTAGGGAATTTATTTCAGGGATTGCTGTTTACATCATACAGTATTTCCACTGTTACTAATTCCCTAGATAGTCATATATAGCTAGCTAAGCTCCATACTTCACTGTTTCCATTATGTCTCATGAGTCAGTCCCTTTGAAAAGTCTTATTTTGCAGTGGTGCTCCTTGAAGAATGGTATCCTAACAAACACCTGTTTGTTTTCAATTATGCCAAATACATAAGTAAACAGACTTTACCTGTCTGCCTCCCACGTGTCAATGTGTAATAAACAGTTTGATAACAGAGATTGCTAGTAGCCCTTGCAGTAGAAATCATTACACTTTTGTTGAACCTGTGTGTCTGGAAGTCATGATTTTTCTTTTATTATGTATAGTACTTTATATTGCCAAAATGTAGTTTCCCCCACAGGGTCACAACTCCTAATAATACAAAATTACCCTGGTTACTAATGATTGTAATTTTTTTTTTATATTTCTCCTTCTTACAAGATTTTCAATAAAGATGTAGAATAGTTCTATTTCTGTAGGAAATTCTACTAAGAAGCGCATAGAAACAAAGCTTGAGTTTTGTCTCATTTTCTTTCTTTTATTATTTTATAGACCCTCTATATTCTAGTTTTTATGCACATTTATAATATTGAAATGATAACTGATAAGTTAACATTAGAGTCTAGGAGACTAATACTTTTACTGTTATCATTCCATATAGACAACAATATTTCAGCCTTCATCTCTGAATAATTTTGAATACTGTTACCACTGGTATTATAACTGTGTAATATTTTAGAACAGCTTATGATGTAAGAATGAAGAGGTTTTAAAATTACAATTTTTTAACAGAATGGAAAGAGCTGATATTTCTAAAGGCATGTGAGAGGCTTGGAGTTCATTAAATGCTAATGGCACTTAGGAATTTTCAGATATTTGGAAGAGGATCGTCCCCGCTTTTAGAAATGCTGCCTTTGCCTTGACTGTTCATCTCTTGGTCCCAAGTTATATTCTAAAACTGACACATGGTAGTAAAATATATTTTTCTTGATTTGGCTAGCTTTTTTTCACACTTAACTTTCTGACTTTTGTGTTGGTCACTAGTAGTCTCTGAACACTTTTACCCCATTTTTTTTGTCTAGCCAGAAAGAAGAATGCGTTTCTTAGGGCTACTCTTTCCTTCCTGGCATTTTATTTCCCCAGAATGTATGTAATGTATCACATTGTACATTTCCTAGTACAGTAATCACTTATACCTCTGAATATGGCAGAAGGTGGAAACATGGCTCTGCTTCCTTCCATTGCTTCTGTCCCTTTGCATAATACAAAAAGAAATGAGCTGTTTCTTCTGCAAGCAATGGAACAAATCAGTAGCAATAGTCTCTCATGCCTCATCTGTTCTCTTATGCTGAAACAGAAGATGGGACCTGGATCAGTTTTTCATTCGCACATCTATTCTGGAATAGATTATTCGTTATGCAGAAAGCATAGTTTCAGCATACAAAAATGTTCACATCCCTTGGTAGGACATATTATGTGCCTTATCGAGACAACCAAAATAAGGAAGCTAATAGTCTCATCTTGGCTGCTGTAGATTCCCAGAGTATTGGCATCTCAAGGATTTCAGCTAAATCTTTCATCATTATCTCAGTGAAGAATATAGACCACTATTTCAAGGAGATATATCCAGAAAAGAAATATTAGAGTGCACCAAGTCCCAGCAAATAAGTAAGCACTTACTGAAGCTTCCTGGAAGCTCCTCATATCTCATTGAAACGTAATAAATCATACAGTTTGGCTGCACGTAACTCACAGTCTCTTTTTGCCCCCACTTCTTCAGACTAGTTGCTTCCACAGGAAATTTTAAAATCCTGAAGAACTTTGTATCTACTGGTAAATAAGAAACATATCAAGAAAAAATGTGCAACTTTTCCTAATTGAAGCCACTCATGAATAGGATCCATGAGAATATGAAGACCCTACTGGAGAAATGGAAGATTCAAAAATGGAAAAAGTTCTGTCACTGAGTATCCATATCACTGTTCTACAAAGGACAGTAATATAGCTGGGTATGTGTGGTTTAAAAAAGGCAAAAAGAGGAATCTGAATTTATGCAAGGAATTTAAAAACTGTTTAGTGCCATTTTCCCCATTTTTCCATATTATAGAAGTGCCTGAAAATGTGAATGAAATAAAAGTTAATGAGAGCCAAAACGTGGGAAAGAAGGAAGACATGAAGTCTTAGAATCATAGAATAATTCAGGTTGGAAGGACCAGGTTGCAGCAGGGCACCTTTAACAATGGAGACTGCACAACCTTCCTGGATCATCTGTTCCAATGCTTGAATGTCCTAACAGTGGAAACCTCTCTGCTTTCAAGTTACTTTTGTTGTCTCTTGTCTTCGTAGTGTGTGTCTCTGAATAGCCCTGATAACCATTTCATGGCAGAGGATGGAAGAGGAGATGCACCTGCCAGTAGACAACTGGAACAACTAATCAGTGTTTCCAGGCTCATTAAGCCCTAGCTGGTGTAGCGAGGAACCCAGCCTAAAGACACGCATCGCATTTTTCAAAAATTCACAGTTCTGCATACCCAGGTCCCATGGAAGGCAGTGGGAGAAAAATCAGAAGCTTTAATAGGAGTTCAAAGGCAGCTAAATATTTTTCACTTTCTAGATCAGAAGGTTGATCTTCATAACTTTCAGGCTTTATTTTAGGACCAAGTACAAATAAAGATGCTTTGACTTACCAGGTATGTAACTACTAAGTAGATTTTTCTGAGCATGTATTAATGGGACAGTTCACTGGACTAAATACCTAACATATACGGTGAAATAGCGAATTGCTGCATGTCTTTGTTCAAGATGATGCGCAGAAACATGCCTGTATTTCCCAAATGTTTTGCATAGCCGTAAAAGAGAATTTGCCTTGACTTCAATGAGTACATTTTAAACTTATGTCAGTTTTGGCTGACATTTTCTAAATGTGACAGTCTTCAGTAAGCATTCTTATCAGCTCAAAAATACATGCACTCTTTTTCCATAATTTTTAATATTTTATTAAAAATTAATAATATTTTATTAAAAATTAAGGAATCTTTCATATTGCAATAAAGGGATAGAATTAAAAAAAGAAAAATATGAAAATGCATAAATCAGATATTTAGTTTATCATACCCAAGGGCAAATGAAGTTGATGGCCCATTTATTAATTGATATATTGATTACAATTTCATAAGAAGAGGTGGTGGTATCCAGAAATGATTGAGGTGGTACAAATGCTTATAAATCTGTCCCACATTGTTCACGTTACTTAATTGTAATTGGCTGATAAAACTTCCATCAGTTTCTGTAATTAACCTAATGGTCTAAATGAATTTCCAGATCACTGGTTATTCATTTCAATATAGAAAATGCCATTACATTGAGTTTAATTAATACAAAGTAAGTTCACAGTTCTAAGTATTATTAGAGGAGAATTTTACTGTTTTAACTGTTTCAGTGATGAATATTTTTTTCCTCTCACTTTGTCCTATATATGGACTTAAGTGTTCATTCTCTATTCATACTG